CAGGAATGCAGCTCCTCTTACAGGCAGTCCCTCAGCCACAGCCAGCTAGAACGACAGTGAGGACCTGATTTCTCTTATGAGGAGGCTTGGTGGGGCTCTGAGTGACCTGCTCTAGTTGCAGAGGTCCCTGCTTACTGAGGACTTGGTGAACTTTAAAGGTTCCTTCCAACCCAAAGCATTCTATGATCTTTCCATGACTTGGTTGGATCTTGGAGCTCACCCAGAGCAGCAGTTAGGATGTTGTAGTTTGTAAGAGATTTAGTGATTCAGACACAGCCCAGCTGCCAGAAACACACCCTGTCTGTGCAGATGGACCTCAATTAAATGTGAGAAACAAATTCTAGCCTGGTTATGAAAGAGACTGACAGATATGACCTGAGGGTACTCTTCAAAACTGTGGACAGCATGGAGATAACATGACCCTCACAAGAAAGGGAAAACTTGGCTTTTCTTTTGAAGACCATTGTCACAGTTTGAGGTGTTTCAAGCCTCTTACCCCTCAGCATCAGTCGAGATGCTGTTGCCCTCTGAGGATGGGCCAAGCAAGAGATAGGTGGCAATGCTTTACTGAAGATTTCCAAAACCCTGTCAGCTCAACATTTGAGTCACACAGTGCAGGCAGATAACTAAACATGATGCTTACACACACCTGTGGGACAGAGCCTGTTAAAGCAAAGCTCACACCTTTTACCTGCCCTGGGAGGAGAAGTGGGGCTGGGAGCCCTTGCCCAGGGGCTACTCAGCAGAAACATGCAGCTTGTAAAACATCACTGCAGGCCATGTGGGGACAGAGCAAGGAATGAAGTTGCTTGCTTGGTATTTTGCCTGTGGGACAGAAAAGGCTGGAACTCAGTGAACTAGATAATAAACCCTGATCTGCATAGTCTGTGCTAGATCTAATTTCTTCTGTTTGGGTGGGATTCTCTGTACCAGGGGAACTACAGCTGCAGCACTGGCAGACAGGAGTGTTGTCACTGCAGAGCTACTATGAAAGTACAGCATATTTCCACAAGCAATAACACATACAGAGAGCTCCATATCAGTTACAGCTTGATCCTAAAAAGATTTGCTGGCAGAGCAAATCCTGTTTGCAGCGTGCAGAAATCACTGTTGGACACCACAGCCACAAGAATCAGCAGTCCTAACAGAGAGGGACCTCAGCAGAAGGGGCTTTTGCTGACAGGCACTTACTTCCCCTGAGGAACTACCATGAACTCCTCTGGAAGTATGAATCTGCAGGGCTAGTTGCATCTCCACCCATTTTGGGTGTACTGGAGTTACCTGTGCAGTTGTTGCCCATGCTGATGGGACTCGGGCATGTCAGGGTAACAGATCTCCAGCACTGTGGAAAAGCAGAGTCCTGCCGAATTCCACAGCCTCTGCAAACTCCTCCTGAGCTACCAGCAGTCCTTCCTAGCCCACCTGCCAAAATTCCAGCCACAGCCACTCCGCATGTTCCCTCCAGCCCCACAGCGACGTGTGCTTGCCACACTCGTGTGCAACCCCAGCTGAGCAGGCAGGGGAACAACACACCCGGGAAGGAACGTCCCAGTTCCACAGAAAGCTGCCATGGAGAATGCAGCACTGCAAACCACAGCACGCAGAGCCAGCCAGCCCAGCCCCAGGGCTGTTCTTGCAACAGTATCTGCTTCTGCAGGATGACACCTGCCAGCAAAGCTCTGGCTGCCTCCTTAACCTTGTGGCAGAAACATGCCCGAGCAACGCAGATCATCTGTAGCAAGCATCCTCTGCAACCCTTCTGCACACCTTGTGTGTTCTTTAGAGCCTAAGTTTGCAACCTGAAAAAAGAAGGAAGCTGCTCCTTTTGAAGCTAAAAGGCAGGGGTGTGCTTTCTGTGACTTTGACAGGGACATGGTTCAACTTTGCTTTTTCAAGGGAACTGTTGAAATTAACACCACTACTAAAGCATCACCCAGAGCTCATCCAAACTCACCTTGGGACAGGAGTCTCTGCAGAGGATGAGAGAGGAGCTCTGTTCTCTAATACATGAAATCGTGTGAACCCGTCATTTCCCCTCTTCCAAGCCAGGTTTACCCTTTCTGGTCTTGAAGGTGGGCAGCCCACACATGGACAAGCCAGCCTTCCTTCCTCCTCCACAGGCTCAGAGCTCCACTCCCTCTCCTCCTTGCACATATTTCACCTCTCCCCTGGAAGCAGAACAATACAGCATGAGAAGGGAGTGGACATGCTTTGACACCCACCCCAGCAGGCTCTGGGCAGCAAAGGACCTGTGGCAATTTGAGCCTGAGCAGTCAGGTGCCAGTTTAGCTAATTGTGCTCAGGGAGAGCACCTATTAAACTGAAGATTCAGACAGATTGAAAGCATGGGTGGTAAACTACAGTCTAAGGAACCCGAGATTAAACTCAAACACATCATTTTACTGCTTTAATCTATGGCTAATAACAGAGCTGGCTCTGCTGGCACAGCAGTAGCATCAGCTGTTTAAGTCATCTGCCCTGTTCCATTAGTCCCTAGCCCCTTGCTGGACACATGCTGCATGGGTGTTGCACATGAGAGGTGTACAGGGAGAGCAAGGCTGCAGTAGCATCAGCTGTTTAAGTCATCTGTTCTGTTCCATTAGTCCCCAGCCCCTTGCTGGACACACACTGCATGGGTGTTGCAGCTGAGAGGTGTACAGGGAGAGCAAGGCTCTGATGGGCCACAGCTCACTGAGCAGAGGGGCTTCACCCGTTTCCCAGTGTGTCTAACATGGCTCAGTACCTTTAAAATGTTGCTCCCAGGTGCTAAGAGGAGATAAATACATTCTTAGGACAAAGCAGGGTAAGTTTTTTGAAGTTTTTGTTTCAGTGCTGCAGACAGGATTCAGTTACTTACACACAAAATTCTTCAGCCACTGGAGGTTCCCATTAGAACCCCAAGAGAGCTGCAGCCTCAATGAGGCAGGACGTGCAGATATCTAAGGGGTGCTGAATAACCATTCTCTTATCAGGGTGTTCAAATGCAAGTTTGCAACACTGTTTATTAAAATAACCCAATTTTATAAATTTGTTTGAACTGAATATAAAACATTAAGCAAAAAACACAGTAATAAAATACAACATGCACATAATACAAACCATGCCTGAGATCATGCAAGGAAATACACTGCAAGAAAAATTGTTATGGAACAACAAATGTTCACCTCCTTTGCAGTGAAAGTTTAACTGTGACACAACCCTTCTGCAGGCACTGGAAGACAGGATTGCAGCAGAAATTGTGCATTAAGCACAAAACCTAACCAAAACAGAAACATTTGCTTTTACCACCTCCTCTACTCTTGCCAGCTCGCACTATTGAGTGTTTTGGGGCAGTGGCAGACTGGGCTCTGCAATTCCACATCTTGTAAAAAGTCTCACAGAGGCTGGGGCAGGCTTCAGTTTCTCCATACTGGAAAGGATGATGCAGTTATTAAAAAAACCAAACAAACCAACCAAAACCAAACCACAACACACCAAACTGAAAGTTTTAATTGGCATTTTTCTCATTTTGTCCAACTGGGTTTTTAGAAACTTCTCACCCCTAGAGCTCAGGTACTTCTGGCACGTGAGGCAGCCAGTGTCCTTTCCAGCAGAATAATACAGAAGAGATCCAACTAAGCCCTGGGGAAGGGACAAAAATCCCACTAGGTTACACTCTTAAAACCAGGACTAGCCAACAGTGGGAAGCCATCCTGCTCTAGCCTCTTGGATGGCAACCCTGCTGGGACCAACAGGATCTCCTGGCCCATCATCCAGGTTCCAGGCTAAGTGACATGAAACATTACCTTTACTATAGCCAGGTCCTTCAGCAAGCTGCCTGCCCCTGCCCCAGGGAGAGCTGTGCTGTAGAGGTGCTGTGTCTGTGAAGTGCTAGGGGACCATCTCGTAGAGATGAGCAGACTGTTCCCACCACTCCGAAGCTGGCTACACACAGCCACTCCTCACACTCCCACCAGTGTCTCAGCAGAGAGAGAGAGTAAACATCTAAACTGTGTGGTGACAGTCCCAGAGACACTATCCTGAATGAGCTGACAGGGACAAGAGTTAACTGCTTTGGAAGCCATGGAGGAGGCTTCCATGTCAGCTGGGTGATGCACATTCCCCTCCTCCAATGATGTTTCACCTATCCACACACAAACCACCCTTGCCAAGGGTTAGCTGGGAATGAACAGTTGTCTTGAAACAGGCAGCTAGCCCAAGGCAGCAGGAGGCTGAACCCCACCTGTTAGAACAGGAGTAGAGGAGGAAGGGAAAGAACAGAGTGGAAACGGGATCCTTGAGTCAAGGCCCTAGAAATCCCCCGGGAGAACAGCAGAAGAGAGGAAAGAAGGAAACAGCCACAAGGCCTTAGACGTAAGACTCATAACCACTCTGGGTCCCCAGGGCATGCCAAGGGGCCTGGTACTGGTGGTGCACAGGAGAGCTGGAGAAGGGCGTGCCGCTGTCAGAGCTGCTCTGCAGGCCATAGGCGTCCTCTGGCTCCAGGCTGCCGTACTCCACGTCAGCAGGGTAGCTGTGGTAGAAGTTCATCTGCTGGCTTAACAAACCCACGGTCTGCTGGGTGCTGCAGCTCGTCCCTCCTTGTCCGAAGAGCCCCTCGTCCTCCACAGCCACGAAGGAGTAGAGGCTCTGCCCGCCCCCGTACGCCTGGGCGCTGCCGTAGGCCTGGTGCACGCTGGTGACGGCCTGCAGGCTCCTGCTGGCACCCGCGGGGAGGCCCTGGGGGAACCCGGGGGGGAGGTCCAGGTATGCAGCCTGAGGAAAGCCCTGCTAGGAAAGACAGAGAAGGCCGTTCAGGAACGCAGAGCGCCACATGGAACGTGCCCAGGCTTTTGGAGGGGCCCTCCTTTCTCCTCCAGCCTCTCCCCTCTCTGACACAAGTTCCAGTTCCCAGGACAGGCTTAACATAGGTGCCACGGTAAGCCCTGTTACACAACATACAGCTGGGTAACAGAGAGCCCTGTGTTTTAGAGTTACAGGCTGGGCATGATGCGAGGCATTTCTCCCCACAGACTGGAGGAGCTGCGACTAGTGCTGATGGAGGAAGGGGAAATTCTCACCTGTGGTAGATACACCCCTTTTTCCACCCACTGACTCTCCTTCTGGCAACGTTTAAATTTCATCCGTTGGTTCTGAAACCATGTTTTCACCTAGAAGTGATGAGGAAAGGACACGGGGCATTAGAAATTCTCAGAGCTTACTTCACATCCTAAAGATGTTTTTCTTTCTACTACCACAGTCCACTTTCTACTTGGCTCCTAATACCATGCGTAACTTCAGCAGCTAAGAACATGCAGCAGACCCAGGCAGCTGTAAAAATCACGGAGCTGAGACTTGAAACCCAACACTCTTACCCCTCAGATCACCACGGGATCTTCCGTGGCATCAGAAAGCCTACCTAGAAGCCAGGTCAGCAGAGCTGCAGCAGCTCAGTGCTGACTCAGGAGCGAGTCACTCCTTGGGGCCGCCAGAGGCAGCTGCTGGGGCAAAGCCCCTCCCTCTGGGGAGGCACCCAGGGGCCGCTCTGACTCAGAGCAGCGCCTGCGGGGCAGCGCGGGCACCTGACTGGTCATGCCCACCCCGACCTGCCACCCGGCCCCAGCGGCCCTGCTCTGCACACACTTTCAAACACCTGCACGGGGTGGGTGGGTAGTGCTGGAACCAAACATTAATAGGAAGGCTGAGTCATAAGTTTTCACACCCTCTGCTCTCTCACGTAAGCAATGGCATAGACAAGACCACGAAAGGAACTCTAAGAAAAATCACCCCCAGAAAAGGCCTATTTAAGCCCTTCACAGCAGGGATGCAGCTGCTCAGAGCAAGACACACACCTGCTTGTAGGGTGTCTGTACTCACCTGCTTGTAGGTGAGCCCCAGGGCAGCAGCCAGCTCCCGGATCTGCTGGGGGCTGAGGTACTTCTGGCTCTGGAAGCGCTGGTGCAGGATTTGCAGCTGCTCCTGGGAGAAGGCTGTGCGGCTCTTGGCCTTCTTCACCACACCCTCGCCTTCCTCCTTGCCCTTCTGGGAGGAGGGGTGGGGAGACGGGTGCTCCGTGGTGGGGCTAGTGGCGGAGTCGGGGGTGTACTGGATGAGCGTCCCGGAGCTGGAGGAAGCGGGAGAGACATCTGCGGAGGAAAGGGAGAAGCGGCGTGAGCAGGGCCATGCGGAGAAGGCTCCAAAACCTCGC